CCCTCCCTACCCCTCTCTTCCTCTCCCTCCCTTCTTTCCATTCCTCCCTCTCTCTCCCCCCCTTTCCCCCACTGCACATGTTGCTCAGGATAAGGACTTCTTACCATCTAGCTAAGTCTACTAGCCTGTATACCCATCTTCCCCCTGCTGTAAAGGCGAGAGGGTGTGCTAGTATTGTGGGTTAGGTGTTACCCCTCCCACTTGCCCAAGGACTTCAAGTCTTCGGTTGTTACTCTTTCTCCCTCCAAGCTTATTCTCACCATATAAATAGCTCAAGTCTCACCTTGGTTTATTAATTTTTAAAAGAGAAAGAAAAGTGGTAGTGCACACTTGTAATCCCAGCACTCTTGGAGTCTGAGGCAAGAGGATCACAAGTTCAAAGCCAATATGAACAACTTAGCACTTAGAACAAGATCCTGTCTGCAAGTAGAGGGGCTGGGGCTGCAGCTCATTGAGAAGGCCTTGAGTTCATAGTCTGATACTGACAGAAAATAGAGATAAGAAAGAAAGGGTCAGGCAGTTACCACATAGCCCAGCAGTTTTACTTTTAGGTACACTCCTAAGACATATGAAGACTTATATCCACACGAAAGCATGCCCACCAATGTTCAGTACAGCACAATATCCAGTAGCCACAAGCTGGAAGTATGAAAGGACAAGTAGAATCCACACAATGAAAAACAATTTCGCCATAAAGAGGAATGAAGCGCTGATACTGGTCACAACATGAACGAGTCCTGACATCATTATGCCAGGTGGAAAGAGCTAGGCATATTTATGTATGTAGTCTATTGTGTGATTGCTTATTTGTCCAGCCAGAGCAGGTACGACTGTAGAGACAAGGAGATGAATGGTTGCCAGGGCCTGGAGTATTATGGGAGTGATAGCTAATAGATAGTAGGGTTTCCTTTGGGGATCATGAGAATGTTCTAAAATGACTATTGTGGTTGTACAGTTCTGTGGCTGAATTGTACACTTTCAATGGGTACAATATATCTTGATAAAGCTTTAAAAAAAACAAAACCTCAAGGGGCCAGGGAGATGGCTCAGTGGAATAAGTGCTTCCCTGGCAAGCACAAGGACCTGAGTTAAATCCCTGGTTCTGCCAAAAAAAAAAAAAAACCTCAAATATGTAGAAAATAAAATTTAGGGACTGGCCAGATAGCTCAACGGATTAAAGCACCTGCTTAGGCAGATGCAGGGACTGGGGGTTTGATCCCCAGAGTGCAGTGGGTGCAGGCCCCATGCCTACAGGGCGCACTGAGACAGAGATTAAGACAGCATGATGGCGTGCACCTGTAATCCCAGCTCTTGGGAGGCTGAAAACAGGAGGATCACTATGAGTCCCATCTGTGTAGTGAGACCCTGTAGACTCTGTACTAAATACAAAAGGAAAAAAAAAATTAGGGAGGGAAATTGAAGCTTCACTCTGACCCTCCCTCTCTCCCTCCCTCCTTCCCTCCTTCCTGGTGGCTGTCTGCCTCCTGCAGCTACGCCCAGCAGAGCTCTTGCGGAACAGGGCTGGGCCTGGGCGGAACAGGGCCTGGTGGCGCTCATTCCCTCCGCTTCCGGGACTGCAGCGCCCTGCATGAGACCTCTGCCCTGCCACTCCACCACTTGGGTGACCTTTGCCACCCTCAGTTTTCTTCCCTCCGCCCTGAGGCACTGCCTGGCTGCTCTTCTTGGGACAGCCTGGTTGTGTCTCTTCCTGTCTCCCGCCCCTCCTGCAGTCTCCCTGGTGGTCTTTTAGCCTGCCTGACGTCCTTTCCTTCCCCGCTTGGCTTTCCCAGGCCTGTGGTTTTAAATGCTGCCTTTGCAATATTGGCTGCCAAATACTTGTAGGTAGTCCTGCCCTTTCCTCCAGACTCCGGGTGCACGCATCCACCTACTTCCCTGTTCCTCCCACTTCATTACCTCACCAGGACTTGCTATTTAGTCCAGTGTTGAAAGTGGCCTCCCCACTCAACCCCCATTCCCACCACTGACTTCTCAGGCCAGAACCTCCTGGTTCCTGTCCCTGGACTCTGCCTTGGTCCCCTGCCTGCCGCCTCTGCTGCTCCACATGCTTCTGCTTGGTTCTCCCCCACAGCAGCATAAGGCATCTGCAAATGGGAAGCCTGTCTGTTCTTGCCCGTGCCTTCATAGCTTCCCTAAGCCTTGGAATGAACTCAGCACTTCCTTCCTGAGCTGGTGAGGCCCAGCCTGATTCTAGCCCAGTGACTTTGCCCCCACATCTTGTCCTGCTCACCGAGGGTGGGCAGAGTGTGGGCAGTGGTAGTAGCACCTGCTTCTTAGCATTGCGTGCTCACTGTAGGGACCATGGTGGTACACAGTATTATTAGAGGCATAAAGGAATTTGTTAGGCCAAATTTTTTAAATGCATGCATGAAGAACTCGAGTGCAGGCCTTCAAAAGAGAGCCAGGCACCCTAAAATCTGGAGCTGGGAGTGTGTGCCTTTAGACAGCAGAAAGTGGAAGTCTGTGACTCTAGAAAGATTCACATGTACCACGCTTGGTTACCTATATGAAAAAAGGGACGGTATACCCACAGGTAGAAACAGAACTCGTTTTGCAGAAGGGTAATAGATTCAGAGAATTCTGAGACTGTTTTAGGACAAGCATCATACAATGTAATGTTTAAGAAACTGCTTTCACTGCAAGGAGGTAGCAGAGCCTCCCTGTTGGCTTCTAGTGCCTAAATAATGAAAGTAAAACTGTAAAACTGGAAGAGACCTCTTCCAATCTGTAAAAAATGCCAAGCAGGTTCCCCTTCACAGTGCAAAAGGCAACACTTGGCCTGACTTAGAGTCAGGCTAAGACCCCTTCTTAACATTCCATCTTCCTCTCTGCAACAGCTGGCTTAAAGTTTCTTTTCTTTCATTGCATTGCACTAGTTTGTCTCAATAAGTTAGTTGGCTTCTTTGTTTCCTTTATAGCATCCATAATAGATGACTTTTCGAGTTGCTCTGTCCCTGCCTGTTAAGACATGGAAAGATAGTACTGACTGCTGAACCTTTTTAAAAATGTATTTAGTATAGGGTCTCGCTACACAAATCAGACTCCCAAGAGCTGGAATTACAGGTGCGGGCCACCATACCCAGTCTCAGTTACTGGGGATCGAATCCTGGCTACTACGCTCTGCCTAAGCAGGTACTTTAGTCTGCTGAGCTATCTGACGGGCCCCTACTGGACCTTTTGTAGGAGCCATTTAATGTGCACAAACTCCTTAGCTATGTGTGACTCAGGTGTCTGATTGCCCAGCCATTGGGGAGATAATTGCTGTGACCCCAGAGGAACATTGGCAGGCAGCACCAGCATTTTCAGAATACCAGCACAGAGACTGGGCATGGTGGCACGCACCTGTAATCCCAGCTCTTGGGAGGCTGAAAACAGGAGGATCACTATGAGTCCAATCTAGTAGTGAGACCCTGAACACGCTGTAGACCCTTCCCAAAAATATCAAAAGTGAATAAATAAAAGAATACCAGCATAAGCAGCACTGTAGGAGGCAGCAGAGTTGCCTGTGTACTGAAAATGCATTTGTTTTCAGCGCAACAGATCTCTTAGTTAACATTCTTATTGATAGTCATTTTTCATGTGTCATGTGTTCCTTTCCCTTGGCAAGAAGGTACCCTTGAGACTCTTTGCCTGGAAAAGTTGTGTTGAGATGGAAGCTTGGAAACATTTCAGGAAAGAAATATGCCTGAGTCTTGGTATAACACCATTTTTGTGGCCCAAGCTGTAAAATCCCACTAAAAGCAAGACTGTGCTAAGACAAGGCCTTCATGTGTGCATTGTATCGGAAATCCCAGGCTTCCGTCTGCAGCTCCTTGGTGGCTTCTGCTCACGTCATTGACACCACCATCGGCAGCATTTGTGATCTATTGAGTAGCATGTGCTGGGCACTGTACTCATGCCCTGCATACATTGACATACTGAAATCTCACGATAGCCTTCAAAGTGTTATCCCATTTACTGATGAGTCTTGAGGAGAAGCAGCTCACCTAGGGTCACATAGCTGTTCAGGGGCCAAGCTGGCATTTGGATTTTGCACTGTCACACTGTAAAACCCAGGTTCTTCATGCTGCCACATGCTTTCTTAAGTCACTGAGCAAGCATCCACTTTGGAGTAACTTATTTTTAAATCTTCGCAACCCAGCCATTGAAATATCAATATGCAAAAGAATCTTTATTCTGCTTACATGCCATCAAAATAGAGCAGAAGACCAATTATATCAGGTGTACCTAATGGTAGAGGAATAGCTGAGCTCTTTAGTTATTGCCCTTGGCCAAGGCCTTAGCTGTGATATTGTTTCCCCACTTGTATATTGAATCTGTGAAGCTCTCACTGGAAACCTCAGGGTGTGAAAGAGTTTCAGTCATCATTTGGGAAATAGGCGAGTAACTGCTTCTCCTCCCAGAGTTGGAGGAGACTCAGGTGCCCCTCTTCCCTCCCCCACTACAGGCCTTCATGCCCCGAGGACTGACAGACAAACGAGGACCTGAGGAATGTGATGCAGTTGCTCTTTTAAGTTTTATCAACTCCTGCGATCACTTCGTGGTTGATCGAAAGAAAGTCATAGAGGTAAGAACCATCAGATTCAAAATCATACACTGAGTCAGTCAGGTCAGTGCTGGGAAGACCAGCAGTGAGAGCCACCCCGTGACACTAAGCCAGCCATGTAGACATACATTACTCCCCAGAACAGCAGTGTACAAAGAAAGTTAGGCTGAGGTCCAAAGTTGGCATCATTGGGCCAGCTAACCATTTCCTTCTTCCTAAGTGAAATTTCCTGGTGACTTGTTACCATGCAGTTTACCATTGAAATATATGCAACTTGGATTTCTCTTCCCTATTCTGCCATAAACAGAAGCTAAGATATATATAGCTGGAGATGTAGCTGAGCAGTAGAGCTCTTGTCTAGCATGCGTGAGGCCCCTGGGTTCCGTGCCCAGCACCAGAAAAAACAAACAACAGAATGCACCATCCTCTCCATTGTATTCCAGACAGAATCCTGCCCTAGCAAATCTCAGTGGCTAATGGTGGCAAGACCAGACGATATAGAACTGAAGAAAATACGAGTACTGGGTATCCATTGACTAATGGATAACATTGTCAGAATAGATCACTATGCTTGTGAGATATTTTGGGAGATTTAGATTTTTTGCTGGTTCACCAGAGAATAGCACGTATTTATTACTTTGATGGTCATCGAAGCATTCTTTCATTATTTATCATATATAGAGAAAATACTGTATATTTGCCAAAAGAATCCTCAGTGACTTCACTGAGACTAAGACATATCGCAGTGGTTAATATCAACCTCTTTCATTTGGCCAAGAAGGTAGAAGACTGTAAATTATATAACATGTGATAGCACTGTTTTTCTTAAAATATAGGTGAAAATTGACTTTCTTTCATTGTGATTTCCATGTTGGCAAAACTCCCTTGACCTGACTTCTGGCATTCCAACAATTTCTAAAACATTTTTGTATTGTCTCCTTCAGCCTGCGGGTGTACCCAGAGCTAATATGCGTGCTCTTTGACAGGCTGTTTTCAGTTAAGAGATTTGGAAAAATGTGAAATAGCCTGCTGTATGCACGGTTTTAGGGCTACAGCGAGTTGCAAACCTATTTGTATTTCTTACTGTCTCAGTTTCTCTTTACTGCCACAAAATACCCAACTCAACACCCACAACTGAAAGGGAATAGGTTTAGTTGGGCTCACGGTTTTAGAAGTCTCTGTCCCTCGTCGTCCATAGCTGGCTCCAAGGCAGAAACACCATGGCCGGGCGAACAGCAAAGGAAAAGGTGCTTGCACTGTGCGGCTGGGAAGCAGAGAGAAGGGAGAAGCCAGGGAGGGAGAGCCACCCTCCCAGGTCACGCCCGCCCCCAGTGACCCGCCTCTAAGCCGGCCCACCTCCCGACCGACCGCAGCTTAGCTATGGAACTCCTTAGTGGATGGATCCAGGGATGAGTACAATGTAGCCCCCCCTTGACCCAGTTGGCCTCCAGCAGCTCCACCTCTGACACAGTTTCGGAGGGACATTCTAGATCTAAACTATAACTTTCTGGTTAGTGAATGACTTGTGTGAAAGGGGGTCGATCATCTCCCCAAGTCTTGACCCAGGCACCACAGGTGATATCAGAACCTTGTGGACTGCTTGGAAACTTGTTCCAACAGCTTAGGAAAGGGAAAAGGCAGAGCCACTCATCTTTGCCTGATTTTGATCTTTTTGTTCCCGGAGTCTTATGACCAAAATCTGGCTTGCAGTCATGTTTTGTTTGTCCTGCGTGGCTTTTTACATTTTTTGAACTGGGCATGGCAGCACATGCCTGAGGAAGAGGAGCACAAGTTTAAGGCCAGCCTGGGCAACTTACCAAGACCTTGTTGAAAGTAAAAATGCAAAAGGGCTGGCTGTGGAGTAAGTGATAGAGTACTTCCCTAACATATGAAGCCCTGGGTCAGTCCCGAGTGCTGTGAAAAACAAAGCAAACAAGAACCCACATTTTAAAAATTCTGAATTTCCAGCTTTCCTTAAAAAATTAGAAGGCCTGGTGACACTGGGCTCATGGCAAGAGGCTACTCATTTGTAGAGGCCACTGTTTTAGATAGGCAATTCATTCTCCAGTTTGTTCCACTGTCATCTCTCCCTGTTTCCCTGCTGTTGAATGGGGCCAGCTTTAACCCAAGTCATGTGTGACCTTTGGAGGCATTTTTGACGTGACCCGAGGACTTCACTCTTGGATGTGTGCTCTCCCGACAGAATGAACTGAAGCAGATGTGCCTTGAGGGCTGCAGGGCTGTGCTGTCCTCTGCGCTGATCGGGCACCTGCCGGGTTCTGCACAGGGCTCCAAGGAAGGTCTGTCCCTTCTTATGTGGAGACCATGCTTGTTGGGTTTTTAATTATCAGAGCCTTTGTAATTTTTCTCTTTGAGCCATGAGATCTCTTTACCCTGTTGACTTTGAAGTCTTTTCTCTTTAGGTGATAAAGTGCCGTAATGAGCTCATGCACTCTTCAGAGATGAAAGTATCATCTACATGGCTTCTGGATTTTCAGATGAAGATACAAACTTTTCTGAATGAATTCAAGAATATCCCAGAGATTGTGGAGGTGTATTCCAGAATAGAACAGGTAAATCACATTTAGCAGTTCTGGCATACAGAAGGGGTCAGAACCAACCACACTCACTCACTCATTTAGGATTTGACATTTATTAAATTTAAACTAACTTTTGTTTTATTTCAGTTCTTGTGGTACTGGGGAAGGAATCCAGGGCCTTGTGCATGCTAGGCAAGTACTCTACCACTGAGCTCCATCTCTAGCGCAGACCTAAATTTTAGAAAGTAAACAGGGGAAAGGGGAAACGAGTTCAGTGGCCTGGAGGTGTGGGCCAGTGATCAGGTACTTGCCTAGCATGCGCGAAGCCCTGGGTTCCATCCCTGGCACCGGCACCAAAAAGACCCCAAAGGTTAAACTAAATAGATAAATGAGTTCATATGTTGTGTGGTCACCTTCCAGCTGTTGATATCTGACTGGACTGTCCACATCCCTGAGGGGGACCAGCCTGATGGGTGTGAAAGCGAAGTAGGAAGTTACCTGAGTGTGAGCCAAGTCAATGAGATCGAAATGGAATTACTGAAGGAGAAGCTTCAAGAGCTGTACCTTCTAGCTGAAGCCCAAGAGGTGCCGCCTGAAGAGGTAAAGGGAAGGTTCCATCCTCTCTGTGAGGCAAGCCAGATGCCAGAGAGGGAGGACAGTTTTTCATATAATTTCCACAAGTTAGTGGTTTTTTTGGCACTGATTAATGTTAGATCTCAGTAAACATTTCCATTCGATCAGCAAGCATTTGAGGGCCTAACTATGCCACAAAGTGGAGTAGCAGACTAAGGTCTGCATCAGGATTTGGGGGCTTCTGGGCCTGCCAGTCACAGGCATTGCCTGAAAAGGCTTTGCAGAGGTCTATGGAGCTGGAACTCACAGATTCAGTAAGGGTTGGGCAAATGGCAAAGGAAGAAGGATATTCTTGGCCAAAGGAAGAGCATCTAGAAAGACACAGGACGAGTTTGGGAGGGCTGGCCAGATAGCTCAGCGGATAAAAGTGCCTGCTTAGGTAGATGCAGGGACTGGTGTTTGATCCCCGGGGTGCTGTGCCGCCCCCACCCCCACCCCTGCCAGGTGCACTGAGACGGTGACTGAGACTGGGTGTGGTGGGGTGCGCCTGTAATCCCAGCGCTTGGGAGGCTGAAAACAGGACAGTCACTATGAGTCTTATCTATGTAGTGAGACCCTGTACTAAATACATTAAAAAGGGGGGCTGGGCAGGGAGATAGCTCAGTAGAATAAGCGCTTCCCTGGCAAGCGCAAGGGTCTGAGTTCAATGCCCAGTTCCGCCAAAAAAAAAAAAAAAAGATGAGTTTGGGACTAAACGGTGGCCAGGTGAGCACAGAAAGTATGTGCATGTAGCAGCGTGGCAGTGGGAGCTGAACCTTAGTGTGGAAGGTTTTTTGTGCCATAACAAGGAGTTCGGGCCTTCTTCCCCCAAACAGTGAGGAGCCAACAGAGTTTTAAATAAAATACTAGCTGTAAGGTCAGATACGCTTTTTAAAAAGTGAACTCTTGGAGCTCAGGCGAGTGGTGACATGTTGTGTGGAGGAAAGACAGGCATGCAGGAGGATCTGGGTACTGGGAACTTCACACGTCAGTGCTGATGGGACTTAGTGCTGCACTCATTGCTTGGGTCATGGCACGAGCCTTGAAGAGTGGGAGAGGAGCACTAAAGGGTCACCAGGGTTCCTGCCACCTGCGGGCTAGCAGCAGTCTCAAGTCCAGATAGGGAGCACAGGAGGCAGGAGGCACCTTTGCTATGAGGAAGGTCTACCAGAAACTAATGGCATAGAATTGTATTCTGGTGAGGTTCAGAGATTCTAGCCCTGGCTGCACTCAAATTCAAGACCACCAGCAGTCCCTTCACCTTCCATGGCCAAGAAAGTGGTTTTACTGGTTACATCCTTAAACAGCAGGAGTGGTCATTTCACATGAAGTGGGGGTTTCCTTCGTAAAGCTGTGCTCCTTCCCAGCACACGTGCCTGTTAACTGATTAGGTGTTTTTGGCAGCGTGCTGAGCTGTTAGCCCTTGGACTGGCTGCCACTGGTGTTTATGTGTGCCTGCTGTGGCTCTTAATGCGATGACTCAGAATGTTGAGTCTTTGCTTCGCTATATCTTCCAGCTTTATTTTTAGATGCCATTAGGACCAACCCCAGTTTTCTTTCTTCTGCTTTTTCCAGAAAGAAGCAGGACAGAGTAAGAGCAGGTAGCCCGAGGTCCAGGCTTGCTGCTGAGTTCTCAGTGCTTCCCTCTCCTCTTGTGGGAGCCGTAGGTCTTTTCGTGTTTGGGTCACCAACAGCACAGTGTGTGACTAACGACATGCTCGAGCCAGGATTCTGAAGGTAGCGTGCCAGAAAGGGACCTGGCAAGCTTGTCCCCATCTCCTGACCGGCCAGGTGAGGGGAGGTGCCTGGGGGCTGGTGCTGGCGGGGGTGTGAGGCTGGCGAGAGCCTCTGTTTCGGGTCCCGTGGCTTTGCACGGAGGAGGTGGCACCTGTAAGTTTCTAACCCTCATTATCTCAGTTGTACGGAGAGGAAATAGGGGCTAATGGGCTTGACCCTGGCTCACAAAGGCTCCAGGGGAGCTGATACCGTCTCATTTTTCATGCTTTCTGCTCAGCAGACCATAGCATTTTTTGCTTGTATTTCAGGTGATCAGAATGTAGGTTGGGCTTGCCTGACATGTTACCACAGAGAAGTTGAAGGTCAGCCTTCCGTGTATGTGGGACTTGACCTTTTCTGAAAGTTCAGTGCTATGTAGGTTATCCGTGTTCTTTAGGGTTAATCTCCAAAGTCAGAGGATTCAATAAGACCACATTTCAGTCAGTTGAACATGTCATCAGTTATAACATGCACCAGTATTTCATTTACTTCTGGCTGGGGATACAGCTCAGCAGCATAAGTGCCTGCCTGACAAGCACAGGGTCCTGAGTTCGATCCCCAATACCAGGAAAAAAAAAAGTATCCCTCAGTTTCTTCTAAGAAAGATAACATGCTTCTGGAAACATATTACCAATGGCAAGAGGCATCCTCATTTGAAGTGATAGGCTATGCATCAGGAATCAAGAAATATAATGATTCTATTATGACCACAGGGCTTTTTGTGTTATCCAAGACCTGTTTCTGCTTTGTTAAAGCTGTACAGGTGAGGTTGGGAAGCTAAGCTGAGAACAATGGTAACAAAGTGACAGTCCCTGCACATGCGTCATGGAGCAGCAGACCGTGCCACAGAACACCGCACTTCCATTCTTTTCTGTTAGCTTGATGCACCTCAGTGATCTATAATATTAAAAGGAGCATGCATTCACTTGTACTGCACGTACATAGCAGAGATCCTAAGATGCTTTTCTCCCTGGGCCCAAGTGGGAATAGTGGTTCCTTGGACCCTCAGGATACACTGGGAGTGTGACCCCAGCTTGGGCCCACTTGCCCCAGAATTCATTCAGCTGCCACCCAAGTGCCTTCCTCAGATCCTGTCAGACCTCAGAGCTCTGTTAGCATCTGGAAGCTGAAATTTTCAGCTAGAAGCTAGGCATAGTGATTCCTGCCTATAACCCCAGCACTCAGGAGGCTGAGGCAGGAGGACTGCTATGAGTTGAAGGCCAGCCTGGGCTACATATTGAGTTCATAGCCAGCCTGAACTGCATAGTGAGACCCTGTCTCAGAAGACAAAAAAAAGTAATATAATAATAGTGATAATATAATAATTAAAAAATAAAATCCGAGCTAGAAGACATTGGGTGCAGCAAAAGGATTAAAAAACATGTCAAGTGTTTGTATTGCTGTTCTCTTAAACCCTGGCAAAGGAACCACCTTCCAGAGGTCCACAGCGAAGCTTAGAAGGGGCAGTGACATCAAGGAAAGGACAGAAAATGACACCTTATTTGCAATAATCTGGAAATAATTTATTGAGCACCTACTGGCCAGGCACCATTCTGGGATATTGGCATGCATCAGCAAACGACAGTGGAAGACCTTGTAGGAAAGACGTGGACGCGAGCAAGCATGGCATGGGGATGGTGTGGGCAGAAGAGGAAGAGAGATGCCTCAGCGGAGGAAGGGGATCGGGGCAGCAGAGTTGGGAGCTAGTGCTTGTGTGCTCAGGGTGGTGGCAGTTCTTGGTTCTGTGTGCATGTGGAGAAGGGGCACAGAGGTAGGGGTCCCCCAAGCTCAGCAGCCTGGCTAGAGGAGAGGCAGGTAACGCCGTCCTGGGTGAGGTCAGAAGCCAAGGGAAAACATGTGGGTCCTGCTGGGCCGCACAGACCTCCAGAAGGACCTAGGCTTAGTCTGGAGGTTGGAACCTCATAATAGTCCTTAGCAAGTGACAGTGACAGGACCAGAGGAGCCAAATGGTATTGAGGATGGGTGAGGTTGGGTTGGAGATAGATGAAAGCAGCGACATGGGATAGGAGGCCACTGCATAGAGGAGGTGGGGGGCAGGGGGCTGCCAGGGAAAAGTGTAGTGCTGGGGAGGTGCCATGTGTTGGTGAAAGAGGGCTCAGAGAGAAGAGGGACCAGAGGGGAGGCGCAGCCTTAAGCTTTGGCGTTAGTGGCTGGAAGAGGCAAGTAAGTGCCCAGCCTTTTCTCACTAGACCAGTAGACTCGATGTATCGGACTGACTCAGTAAACGTTTATGAAAGAAACGTCGGAAGGAAGGGATGTCCTGGGCCAGTGCTGAGTGTTCTTGGTACATCATTTCCAGTCCCCTCCCCAAGACTTCTGGATGGTGTTAGTATCATTCTTAATCTGTAAACCTGGGAGTCCAAGAGCTCTAAGAGGTCACATGTCCTGATCACAGTCACAGAGTTGTGAAACGACAGCGCTGGGCTTCAGTGTCCCAGGACTGTGTGGTTACAGATCATAATTTTTCAAGTATTTTCTGTTTTTCATCTGTACTTCTCTTCCTCCTTTACGTATCAATGAGCACAAGCTCATCCTTCTGTTTTTGGGGTTTTTTAAAAATGTATTTAGTACAGGGTCTCCAGGGTCTCACTCCACAGATCAGACTCCTAGTGATCCTCCAGTTTTCCCTCTTCCAAGCTTTGGGATTACAGGCGCAGGCCACCACGCCCAGTCTTAACGTTTTTTGTTTTTTGTTTTTTGAGACAGGGTCTCCCTATGTAGTATAGGCGGCCTTGAACTCACTGAGTAGCCCAGGTTGGTCTTCACCTTGCTGTGGTTCTTTTGCCTCATCCTCCCAACCTTCCAAAGTGCTGGGATAACAGGTATGTGCTACGACACCTAGCTCTTCTTGTTCTTAATTTTTTGTTATTTACTAATTTTTTCAGGGCTAGGGATGGAACCCAGGGCTTCACAGTACAGTACTGTTCTCTACTGCTAAGCTACGTCCACAGCCCCCAATAATTATGTCTTAAAAGCCTGCTTTGATTGTGTCACTCCCAAGCCGTGAACACCTCTTGAGCACATTGATCCTGTTTCTTGTTTTGCACCAAGGGAAAAGGTGAATTGCAAGGCTCTGCTTCCTATTGGAAAGAGTGAGGAGTGGGGCAAGGGGGTTGAATGGAAGAGAGAAGTGGAGCAGCTGGTGGGGAGGAGCAAGAGGGCAGGAACTATGTGGGCTGGAGCAGAGCAGTTCTGAGGGTCTGTGGGGAGGGTTGGGGGACAGCACAGGGAGCATGGCTCCTGCTGCCAGGTGACCCGGGCTGGGAACAGGCCACAAGTCCCAGAAGCGGGGCCAGCCAGGGCCACTGGGCCTTGGGTAGCGCCGCAGGGCCACCAGACGTGTGTAGCAGAGCTCTGCAGCGCGCCTGGTTATTGATGCATGCTGTGGATGCGGCCCTTCATGTGGGCTTCCTTTCACATTTCCACGGCTTCCACATTATTCCTCAAAGCCCAGGCATTTCACAGGAGCACGGGGCCAGCCGGAAGCCCTGGAACTACATCTGAAGAGGGAAACTCCACTCTACCTTACTGAGCAGTCTGCATCCCTGTCCTCAACACCTACCTGTCTCTCCCTGCATTCCCTAGCGGTCCTGGGCACAGCCTCTGCAGCCTGCCCCTCTCTTCCTCCCCTGAGAGCCAGCGTCTGGCTGCTAAAGTCACTTAGCGCAGTAGCTCAAGTGCTGACTGAGGCTTTGCCTCACCTGTACCATGAAGGAATGGACACATCCCTTTTTAGAGTATAAGTGTCCATTGGGGTAGGGCACTGCACTATTCTTCCCTCATTTTAGAGAATCTGGCCTTAGCTTGGGGTTGGGGGTCTTCTACAGAAAAACATACTCCAAATGTAGCACAGGGACCTGTGAGGCATTCTGGGACAAATGTAGTAAAAGCACTTCATGCTGTTCCATGCTGACATGGTGTGACTGTTGAGAGTGATGTTGCTCGGAGAGCTCAGAGTGTGATCTCTATGTGGCAGTTTGGGCAGAGACTATTAAAATACAAAGCTGGATCCGAATTAGAACTGCCTTCCACTTCTAACTAAAAACAGACCCCACAACAAGGGTGGCACTTATGCAAAATGACAACTAGACCAGGCTGATCACTGCAGCATTATTAGAGCAGAAGGTTTGAAACGTGGTAACCACTGAAGCATCCGTAAGTGAAGTGCTCTTCAGCCATTAAATTGCAACAAGGCTACTCTTGATCATCTCCCGTCGAGAGATGCGTTGAGGAGCAACACACACTACAGTGTCATTTGTATTTTTGTAAATGTCAAAAAAAGTCCAGAGATGTGCTTGCATATAAATGTGTGAAAAATATAAAATAAATACATGACGTCCCTTGGGAAGAAGCACTAGAGTGGATCATCATGTTCCCCTCTGAGGCCAGGAGCTGTGTGACTAGGGACAGGGTTGAGAAGAAGACCTAATTTTTACCTTTTTGATTTTCAGTTTTTTGCCTGCACATTTATTAGTATTAATTTTATAAGTGTGAATATATATGTAGCAGTAACAAATGGGCAAGCCCAAAAGAGAAAGGGCTTCATTTATGTATGTGTACACTTATGTACATATAAACCCTCAAACCCCTTTATATAAATGCAGGCAATTTTTAAAGCAAAAAGAATTTCAGAAGACAAGTAGCTTCCTTCCCCTTGTGTGGTCTCAGAGCCACTGTCTTGGGTCATCTTTGGTTTGAGTAGAGACTGCCTTGTTCTAAATGGCCGATTTTGTTTTTCAAACCTAAACCTATTATGTGGCCAGAAGCCTGTAAGACAAGGTTTCTGTCTCGTGGGAGATACATGAGCAGGGGCCAGTCTACGCGTGGGTGGGGTGTGCTGGGGTGGGACCAGGGCCTTGTGCGTGGTAAGCCCGGGCTCTACCACACACCACCCTGCCCACCCCAGGAGCCAGCCTGCAGCGTAAGCTTTGCACTGGAATTAGAAACCTGCTCTAACAGTGGTCCTAGAGTGCTTTGTATGCTCTCCTCTTGCAGATCTCAAGTAGACTAGAAGTGGTGAAGGAATTTCTGCGAAACAATGAGGATCTTAAAAATGGCCTTACAGAAGATATTCAGAAGCTAGACAGCTTCCATCTCAAGCATGAAACACTGGATTCAAAGGAACCTGGGGGACAGACACCAGAAAGCAAGGCCTAATGTGAGTTTAGGCATGTGATGGGTTTGTTTATTTGTTTTTGGATTTTTTCTTTTTAAGCTAGGGTCTCACTATGTAGTCTAGGCTGGCCTTGAATTCACTGTTGCCCATGCTGGCTTTGAACTTGTGGTGATGCTCCTGCCTCAGCCTCCCCAGTGCTGGGATTCCAGGCATGTATCACCCCACCACATGTGATGTTAGATCAGGACAGCGTGGCTCCCCCGTTTGACACCCATTCCCTTTTGAGGCCATGGTGAGCACACAGCGTCTCATCGCTTCCCTCTGTCCCTGTTATTTCTGGAGGCCCCTGAGCTTTGTGCTCCTGCTGCTCTAATGAACGGTTCTCACTGCTGTGAAGTAGTTCAGCATCAGTTCTCTGGCAGGCTTGTTTAGCCAGATGCACCTGAAGTCACTGGACTGGTCCTAGGTGGATCAACTTTATAATCAACAAACACTTCTGCCCCTTTGCCCCCAAATGATGCCAGTGATGCTGAGCTCTTCCTGTGGTGTTAATAGCAAGTGGCTGCTTTCCTTCAGGAGTTGGTTAACATAAGTGGTGTCTTCAGTGTTTTACTTTTTCCCCTCCAATACACAAAATGAAAGCCTTCTCTTTCATCCTAGGTTGGTTTCGCCACAAATGAGGCATGTTCCGTGGTGGTCAGCATATGGCTTCCAGCTCACACATCCTTTTTCTGTGCAAAGGAAGAAGTTTCCAGAGTACCATACCCAAATGACAAATCCTTGTTGTCCCAGACTTGCCTCTGGCTCTTTAGCGGTAGTTTCTTCATATGCATAAACTTGGGGTTGCGTAATGTATACCAATCAGAAAATCCTAGTTCTCCTTGTGCTGTCAGTTGCTGGCTCCCAGGGTCTTTCTGCTGTGTCAAGGGTCAGAGCTGCATCTGGCTTCCTCTGGCAAAGGGGGTCAGGCCAGTCCTGTGCCAAGGACTCACACAGAGCTCTGTGCCCCTAGCAGGTGTGTCCTGTCCCTGCTTCCTGCTGCCAGAAAGCCTCTTGGGTCAGGGCCATGGTTAAAGTTTTTAGCTAAAACCCTTCCTTTTTGGGAGAAGGTAGAGGGAAACATTCCTGGGAGGCCATTTCTACCCATTTCAGCTGGGGACAAACAGGCTGGCTCTAGCCCCTGAGGCCAGGAGGCAGGGCTGGGCAGTGGGATGTCATAGGGACCTCAGGGTAAGGGCCTGGTGGCTCGTTTCCATGGCCCTCGTGTGGAGCCAGGGCCATGGCAGGCAGGCAGGCGGGCTTGGCTCTTCGTTGGTGCAGTGTTATCTCCATTGCGGAGCACAGGGCCTGGCCCGTGGGGGCTTGCCAAACATTTGTTCGAAGATTTTTTCTGGTGTCTCGGGGTATTTATAAGCATGAACATCAGTTACATTGTGAACTAAACCTTGTCCTTCATTATGAAATTTAAGAGTAAAAATTTTCAACGTTCTTATGGAAAGTCATTTTCTTTGAGCAGATTCATGACTGCATTCATATGCCCTCTATTTCTGTTACCCAAACTGTATTCCACTCCTGACTGGCCTGTCTGGTCCCGAAGAGCAGTGAGCTCTGTGCCGTTGTGCGCAGTGATATGTGGGGCTGGCCTCCCTTGCTTTCACCTGTGCATCACCAAGGCCCCTGGTGCTAAGTTCAGACAGGTCGCCTGTAGACCTTCAGGGACAGAAGTGCCTTGTTTCCCGACTCTGCTGGGAGGCAGTGCTTCCTGCAGTGCCCAAGCGAAGGTGGGTATGCTTCTTTGCCTGTTCAACCCACAAGGCTGTCTTCAGAGAGTGAGCACAGGAAAGGGGTATGTTTCTACATCCACGTGAGCTTCATATCATTCTGTAAGTCTCAGATGAGCCCAACTGTGCCCATTGTTTCCTGCTTCCCTGTTCCTATTTGGTCTGTAACCTGATGCTTATGTGTTGCAGGGGTCAAGTGTGCTAGGCCAGCAGGCTACCACTGAGCTGTTACTTGCCCTTGTGGTTTTGTTGGGGTTTTTTTCTGCCAGGGATTGAATTCATAACCTGTGCTAGCCAGGCGAGCGCTTGTGCCGATGAGCTGTCTCCCCGGCCCTCTTGTGTTTTCTTTCTCCCTTTATTTATAAAGTTCCTTGAAAACACCTGAGTAGTAGAGTAAGCATTTTCACACATCTAGCTAGCTCCCAAACTAAGAAACTTGAATGAAATATCTGGCCTCTAGATCTGAGGTACAAAATGCGGGATCATGTCGCTCTTGATTCACTAAACAACTTGCAACCTGAGTTCTAACTGCAGGAAGTCTGGGATATGAACCCTTCCATTTTATGCCTTCATCCTTAGTTTTCCCTGCTATCTAACAAGCACTTCTCAGACGTCAGCTATGTGCCAGACACTGAAGTAGATGAGAATATAAAGATTTGTAAGGTATGGGTGATAATGTAGGGCTCTCATTTTATGGGCTTATTTATCTGCTCTATGAAGTCAGAGGTATTGTTCAGAAAGCTTTATACTGGTAATGTTTCATTGCATTGCAACAGAAAGGAAGATATGGCCAGAGAAGGCTTTAAAGCAAATGTAGCGTATGCAGAGACGTCAACCTGTGTGCCTTTCCTGGACACAGTTGTGCACATGGGCATGCGCAGCAGCAGAGCTAACCAGCCATTAATAGAGTGAGTGTGACCTCAGTGAGTGAAGCGCAAGCAACTGAAGCAGCCTGCAGAATGTCATGCACCTGGTGGAAAGACTGAGGTGGCACTGCAGTGCTGTGACATGGGACGATCTGTAAGGAAAGCAAGGCTGGGGTGTGGCTCAGCGGTAAAGCACCGCCACCAAAACTAAGTACTCAGAGAAGCAAAACGCTTCCCTCTGCATAGCACACCGTACTACTGTATGTATTTTATAATGACTAAGGCTTGGAAAGTCATATGCTTTTCCCAAGCCTTTTTGCTGTGTTAGGTTTGTGGAAGCAATTGGGGCTGTAGGGTAGTTAGAAGGACTTTGACTTTCCTATTTTGGGTATTCTCATATGAAATTTTTACAAATGCACGCTTGTTTTTGTAAACGGGGAGGAGAAGAGTATTAAAGGGGGAGGGTGGTAGGGGAATGGGGAAAAGAATCAAGTTATATCATGTACAGGTGCAAATTCTCTGACAGATGTGATGTACATCTGAAATGTACCAATAAAATCTGATTGGAAAACAATATGTACTCGTATATTCTGTAGTTTTTTATATTAAAATTGTTTCAAGATAAGAGACTTGTTGCCTGGCATGCACAAGGGTCTGAGTTCATTCCCCGGTTCTAAAAAAAAAAAAATCAAAATAAGAAACTTGAACAGTGTAAATTCAAATTGTAAGACTGCGGTATTTCGGGCAATTTGTTCTTGCCTCCCTTTTCATAGCTCTACCTGCAGGGTGCCGGTGAATCCTCAAGGACATGAGAAGGAGCCCTGTAAGCACGATCCTTCTGCCTAGGGCTGTTCTTGGTTCACTGTGGGCTCATCAATAGGATCTGCGCCCAGCCTCTCCCTGGGACACAAAATGTGCTCTGTAGTTTTGAAAAACTTCAAGAAAAAGATGACCTCAGCCATACAGTTGCAAAAATAAGAGTTCTTTGGCTTTACAAGGAGGATGTAACATTATTAAACTTAGTATAAAACACTTGAAAATGACTAAAGTATATTTGTTACCACAACTTGTGGAAAACTAGCTCTGCTAACTCAGAAAAGGTGACTGGCTTCATACAAATCTATAGACAATTTTCAGTTGCCGAGGTCAGAATGTCTGGGCATTTGAGGAGATTATGAAATGATTGTTACACTAATGATTTGCCAGGCTCATTTTATTGATTACTCAAATGGCCTACACAGTAATTCCTAGGCAGTGGAGAGCTAGATCTCTTAGGGCAGTGGGTGTGTTTCGAAGGGGAGTAGTAAGAGCAGCATTGCATTGGAGTGCAGGTGTTGCCATCTTTTGAGTTATTTTCTCTGATCAGTTTAACTGCTAAATTATAAATGGAAAAAATTATAAAAGGTATGATAGGAAATTATCAACAGTTACCTAATTTTCCCATACCAGGTTAATTAGAAGGAACCTATCTACTTTGAAACACCTTCAACAGACAATGGCCTTTTATTGAAATATATTTCAAAAAAAATTTTTTTTAAAAGAAATATATTTCAATAAAAAATAAATTTTATAAGACATGCCTAGGGGCTGGTGAGATGGCTCAGTGGTCTAAAGCACCT